TTTTTCCAAGCGAAGCTTCAAGCCTGTTGCATACCGTGAAGGTGCAGACCAGAACAAGAACCGACCTCTCACACGTAGTACAGGATAGCGCAGCGGAAGGCTAATATACTAATGATCAGACCAATCAATGTCACAATGCAGACCAAACATTCATCATTATCCTCGCAAGGTGTGAAGGGCCTGGCACTACACTCAGGAGGAATGCACCAGGCTCCAAACATACACAGACGAAAGGAGGGGGAACAGACGAAGATGGGGGAGAAGATGAGAATGTCACCAACACCAATGTCGTTGATATCGATCCCAAATAGTCTCCCATCAATGTCTCTGTCCCCAGGTTGAGTCTGTATCCAAATGTCATCAACATTCTGAAGTCACAAATCTCTCTCTCTCTCTCTCTCTCTCTCTCTCTCTCTCTCTCTCTCTCTCTCTCTCTCTCTTAGTTTGCCAGATAGTGAGAAGTCAGGTGGCGAGAGGGTGAGGGAGAAGAACTCTCGCTCTCCCTCTTGTGCCAAGTACTAACCTGTGAAGGTGGCGCCTTGTTGCAGGTACATCGAAGACGAAGCTGGAGCTATGGCGCCACCGGTAAGTCTTGCTGGCCTCCGCCACCTCTCTCTCTCTCTCGACGCCACTCTAAGCTCCTAGCAGCGCCCAGTGCGGAAGACTACTCCTAGCACTAACTACTATTACTGCAGCGCTCCTGGGGGGAGAAGATCACCGAAGATACGGCCTTTCCAACCACCGTGGTGCAACTCGAATGGAGTCACGTCGATCGCCGAATGCAACAAAGTGTTGTGGGCGAACTCAATGTCGGGGAGGCGGTCAACCCAATCCTTCTGATCCGGACGGATGAGCGTACGAAGCATCATTTGAGCGGTTTGATGTGCCCGCTCCGTTTACCGGTCCGTTTGTGGATGCCGAGCCGAACTTGGTTTCATTTTGGTGCAGGATTCCTGCATGAGAGAAGTCCAGAATGCCGACATGAAACGAGTGTCGCGGTCGCTAACGACGTTTTCGGGTACGCCGTGGCTGCAAATCCAGCCGGTTTGCAAGAGGCGCGCAAGTTCGGGAGTCGTGGCGTAGTACTTGCAAGGGAGAAATCGCGCGTATTTACTCAATCGGTCAACGACCGTGAGGACGTTGTCATGCCTGAAGCGGTCGTGGGGAAACGGGGGGTGAAGTCCATGGCAATGGAGAGGCCGGGTTCTCGTGGAATAGGCAACGGGCGCAACTCGCAGTAGGGATTGCGGTTGCGGGGCTTGCTTCGTCGGAAAACTTCGCAAGAGTCGCAATACCGAGTGACATCGGTAATGAGGTCGGGCCACCGGAACCGTTGCCGAAGTCGTGCGATAGTCCGATTAACTCCGAAATGGCCGGCGAGTTGCGAGTCGTGGTACTCGCTGAAAAGGCGAGCCCGAAGACGACGGTCTCGTGGGACATACAATAAGTCCTTGCCTCGTGAGTGGAGGAGTAAGTACCCGCCGACAATGCGATAGCGGCTGGCCGGCGGGTGATCCGAAGATAACTGTGCATAGAGTGTGGCGTAATCCGGATCAGACTCATAGCCCTGAATGAAGTGCCGCTGGAGTTCCTCGTTAAATGCGAAGGCATGATGTGTCATAGCGCAAAGATTGGGTCTTCGCGAGAGTGCATCTGCTGCGCGATTGGAGAGGCCGGCGAGATGTTTCGGTGTGAAGTCAAATTGGTCGATGAAGTACATCCATCGTTCGATCGTGCTGCTCACCGTATCTTGCGTCTTGTGGCAGGTCAACGGGTTGTTATCAGTGACCCATGTGAACCTACGGTGCCCAAGGAGGAGGTGCCACCATTGCTTGAGAGCCATCACGAACTTGAGCAACTCCTTCCTTGCATCATCAAGTAAGTTGATGGGACGCACCTTGGGGCTGAAGTACTCCACGGGATGCCACTCGTCGCCGTCGTGTTGTTCCAAGACTGCCCCAATACCATGGCCGGAGGCGTCGGTTGCCACTCTCGTTGGCAAGGTGGGATCGTAGATACTAAGGACGGGTACCATGAGCATGGGCATCTTCAGTGCTTGGAATGACCGCTGCGCTTCGTCGTTGGATACGAATGGCGCCTTTGGCGATTGTAGTGTCGTTAATGGTGCGGCGATCCTTGAATACCCAATGATGAAGCGTTGGTAGTAACCCGCCAACCCCATGAATGAGCGAACTTCCGTGGTGTTGGTGGGCTCGGGCCATACTCGGATGGCCTCGATCTTGTTCGTGAGCGGACGAATGCATTGAGGCGTCACAAAATGGCCCAAGCAAAGGGCTCTTGCTGCGTGAATTCGCATTTAACGAGGTTGGCTTTGTACTTGACTTGTCGCAACCATTCCAAAACGGTGCGCGGGTGCTCCACATGCTCGTCCAAACTTTGGCTGTACACCAAGATATTGTCGAGGTAGATGAGTACAAATTCGTCCAGCATGTGTCAGAACTCCATCGTCATAGGCGCTTGGAACGTGGCCGGGGCATTCTTAAGGCCAAAAGGCATAACCAGCCATTCGAAATGCCCACAGCGCGTTTTGAACGTGGTCTTGCAGCGGTCCTCCCGCCGGATCTCGAGTTGGTGATATCCCGATTTGAGATCAAGCTTGGAGAAAAATTTAGCGCCACCCAACTTCGAGGAGGTCGTCGATGCACGGGAGAGGGCCGACGTTCTTGATGGTTTGCGCGTTGAGCTTGCGATAATCGATGCATAACCGCAAGTCCTTGTTCTTCTTCCGGACGAAGAGAACAAGAGCGCCGTATGGTGAAAAGCTAGGCCGAATCCAACCTTTCTCAAGAAGGTTGTTGAGTTGTGCCCGTACCACACTTAACTCTTCCTCCCTCATGCGGTAGATGCAACCACGTGGAGGTACGGTCCCGGCCTCGAGGATGATCTCGTGGCGGATGGGCCAATCTGGAACTACGTGCGGGGCTTCGAACACGTCGTCGTAGGCGTCGAGAAGCTCAGTGATGCGTGGGTCCGCCGATGCATTCGTCGATGAGATGCCATGGGGAGGGATTGCGTGGAAAAAACACACACCCATCTCCTTGATGTCGTCCCGGGTGATGGAAGCTCAAATGCTCACGACGGACACCACGTGACAACTGATCGAAGGGTGAGGAGGCACTGTGCACGGGACTAGTACTTCGTTCCGATCACGAATGTGAACGGTGCGGCGGTAGAAGTTCACCGGGTGGTACTTGCTTCGCAGACATAACATGCCCATAATCATGTCAAACTTGGTGTCCAAAATGTCGAAGGACACGGCCTCACTTGCATGCGGGGCGAAGTACACGGGGACGGAATCAATGCACCGGTCGATTGACTTGTGCGTGTGACCGTCGGCCAACATGACTTGCATGGGCTGCGACTTCTTCCTAACGCGTGGCCCAAGGCCAGCGCGTACCATAATGTCTTGGCTCATATACTTGCGAGTAGCTCCGCAATCGATCAAAGCGCTGCAGGTCGCTCCTCCGATCTGAATGCGTATCTACAACAATGGTGCATCGTTGGTGTTGTACCGTTGTGTTTTGAACTCGCGGTCGATCTTCGCAACGTAGTCGTAAAGGTCAACAACCTCTACTCCGGCGTCCATCAACGGAGCTGGTACTGCAGTGTGCAAGTAACCCCTCAATTGTGCCATGAGCACATTGAAATGCGGTTTCGACAATCAACCTTTCGGGGGAAGGGGCATCCAGTAGAAGTCCACGAATGTCAACGGGTCGAGTCTTTCAAGTCTTGACCATGACGTCGAATCCTCGAAGAATGTTGGCCGCGAAGCTGTTGAATCGGTTGTCGATGGTGGTGAAACCGTGCATGCGGTGGATTGTTGCACGTGGAGTGGCTGGTCCAACGGAGGGACCAAGTGGACAGCGTAATCCTTGTAAGTGAATCGAGGATTCGCGACATTCGCATTCTCTCTAGATGTGTAGGAGGCCGCTAGCAAGGCGGCCGAATCTGGTGGAGTGAGAGGTGGAGTCGACTCACCTCCCGTGCAACTCAGTTTCTAGCTGATTCGAGGTCGAACATCCTCCTTGCCTTGATCTTGGCATTGGGAGGTCTTGTGCTTGGTGCTGTTGCACCAATAGCAGGAGCTGTATTGGCTGCAGTACTTGTATTCGACCTCGGTCAAGTTGAACTTGACCCATGGTACTGGCTGTCCATTTCCGACCGGCGATGCGGTTTTCGCCTTCCCTTTTCCATGGGAGTTGTTGTTGCTTCGCGGCTGGACAGCGGCCACCTGATCTCCCTTACGTGATGCTGGTGTGGCTGCCGGGTCTTCCACAATGTTGTCCGGTTGGACTGCAGCGACGGGCTGCGGACGCAGACCCAATTGCCCTTTCTCCACATGGATTGGCAGCCACGCTGACTTCTCGTGCGCAGCAGCCCGGTTGGTCTTGATGATCTCACACGCCTTGTCGATGATTTCGACGAAGGTCGTGTATTGTTCTTGATCACGGAGTGCGAGGCTCAAGGCGGCACACGACCGGTTGTAGAACTCCTGACGTAGATGGGAAAATGGCAACTCGAGATCGGGTGTTGCCACGATCTTTTGCCATTCTGTGAGCCAATCGTGTGCCGCCTTGAGTCATGGTGAAGAGGCGGTTGATGGCGAGTGTTGGAGCATCGTCCACAATGAACCTCTTCTTCCATTTCTTCGTCATATCGTCCCAAGAGATCTTCTTGTGCAGGTCGGAGACTTGGACGCCATGGATGGTTGCCATGTGGCTGAGCCAGATCTGGCATCCGCCCTTGGCGTTGAGGAACAACGCCTAGATGTACAAGTGATTGGGGACCTCATGAATCCCAATCTGCGTTGTAAAACCTTGCCATTAGACGATTGGGTCCTGATGCGTATCGTCATCAAATTCTCTATCCGGAACGCCGGCATTTTGTACGGCCGCGATGCACTGGTGCTGCCATCATTGTCGGGCGGCTGGTGTAGTTGCCGAACCTCGGTCTTCAAGGTGTCGAGCTGCTCGCTGATGGTGGCTGGTGCGGCAAAGGTGCTGATGTCGCCGAGCATTGCGACTACATGGTCAACTCGTTGCTCCAACTGGGGGGTTGAGGCTGCATTGCTGGGTTCGCCAGCATCTGGTCCTGGTGCTACTTGCTCCCAAGTCCTGTACACGGGAATGAAGTGCCCATGTAGCATTCTCGTGCAGATCCTTGTGGTTCCGCACTGCCGGTCGGAGATTCGCCAGCTCGAACTGCAGGTGTTTACAAGTGTAAACCAACCGGTTCACGAGTTTGGAGACAAACTCCTTGTGCTGCTCTTCCGGTGTCACATCGTCGTGGCCCTCGGATGGTTCAAAATGCCAGAACTTAAGCCTGTCAACGCTGGCGGCTTCGTGCCGCTGCAGCAGATCCTGGACCTCCTTGCGGCGGACCTGGGCATCTGCGGCAGCTGTGGCCTGAAGCCGCTGCTTTTCAGCTGCTGCTTCAGCTTCAGCCTGTAGGCGGGCAGCCTCGGCTGCCGCTTGGGGCTGTTCCGCAGCCTCGATCAGTGCGAGCTGAGCTTGGAACCGCTGTTGGTACTCGGCAATGGACTCGTTGGCCAGTTGGCCTGGCATGCCCAAAACTGAAATCGTCATGTTGGCAGGGCACTGCTGTGGTGGCACTGCTGTCGTGGCACTGTTGCTGACGTGGCACTGCTGATGTGATGTGGCACTGCTGACGTGGCACTGCTGACATGGCATTGCTGATGTGGCACTGTTGCTAACGTGGCACTGCTGATGTGGCCCTGTCGCTGATGTGGCACTTACCAAACCGGGAATGCAGGCAAGGGGCTGGGTGGGAGGGAAACGCAGGAAGGTAATCAAACTGCACTTTCCATTCCAGGCCCTAATCAACAGAAAAAAAAAAAAATAAAAAA